CTGGTGCTGGGCAGTCCTGCCAGCCATGGAAAGCCCCTTGCTGATACCTGAGTGTTCCCTGCCTGTGCAGCCCTCAGGTGTCACCCTGGGTGCTGCCAAAGGCTCACAGTTGCTGCTACCCTAAAACTTCAAACCTTTGCTCAATTCTAGCACAGATCCTGCTGGTCACCTCCAACCCTCTTTTCCCCACTTGCGGGAGAAAACACCCTCTGTGTTTTAGAGGAGCAGCCATGGGGTTGAATGCCATTTTTGCTCCTGTTTTTGGGGGAAGCCAGGGGAGCAGTCCTGCTGCAGCAGAGCCTGTGCTGAGGGGGAGCTGTGGGCAGCAGTGTCTGCACAGCCACTGCTGCTCTGTGCCCTCCGTGGCAGCAGTTTGTTTTCTTGCATGAAATCTCAAAAAGCTTTAAATTGCAGAAAAAAAAGCATTTTTGGTGGCCTGGAGCATCCTGTGACTGTTTCAGCAGGGAAGAAGCCTTTACCCTCGCTGCTGTGTGGGGAGAGGCTCCCACAGGTGCCCAGGTCACGGGCTGAGGTGGGCTCTGTTGTGGCTCATGTTCTCCAGCCCACAGGGATGGAGCTGCTCAGCCCTCCGTGGCTGAGCAGGCAGCAAGAATTGCAGTGAGGTCAAAGTGTGAGACACCCCTGAGCAGTGGTCAGGGTCAAAACAGCCAAAAACTTGAGGGCAGAAACTCTGATTTTTTTTTCCCCATTTTAGAGATTTTTTTTTCTTTTTAATTTTGAACTGATGACGGTAAATTAAAGAACCAACTGGCTTTTTCCAGCCCTGTCCTGACAGCTGCCAGTCACCAAACATGAAGGATTGATAAGGCAGAGCCAGTGGGCGTGGAGGTGATGCTTCCCTGGCAGAAAATGCCCCAGCACCCCGGAGCACTGACTCAGTCAGCTAAAAATTGTAAGTACAGTCCCAAAAAAAGCAGAGATGAGGCATCTCTGCTTTCCAAACTGCAGCCACGCTCAATCCCTTCCTGTCCTGAAGCCCGTGTCCAAGGGAGTGTGTTGAGGAAATGCTGAGCATTTATGCATCACAAGCACATTGGGGTCTCCTGGTGATTTTGATGTTACACCTGAAATAAAATTCATATTTAATTCATTGTGTTAATAACATTAATGAGCATGGAGTTTCTCTGGCAGCTCCAGCTCTGTGCCTGCTGTGTTGTTATCCCTGTGTTTGTGGGATGATTTGGGAGCCTCATTGAGGCCACAGTTTCACCAGGGCTTCAGTCCAGCTAATGGGAGGGAAACCACAACAAAAGCAGCTGGGGCACTAAAAACCCAACTCTAAGAGCAGAAATGTGAAACTTCTCCCCATTTTGCACTGTCATTAAACCCAAATAAGGGCTTTTTCTGTCCCCTTAACTGTTTGTGACTAAAATGAGTCAAAAGGCTGATAGAGCAGCAGTTATTTTGGGGAGAGCAGAAAGTCACGCTGCAAGACAGACACAGTAGCTCCTGCTCAAGGAGGTGATTTCAGCATTTTCCCAAAAACCCCATTAACTGGAGAAAGCCTCATGTGCTCTCACCCCCACTGAGACATTCTGAGCTTCATCCTCATCCTTCACAGCCCTGGGCAGTGGGGAGCCACCAGCTGGATGAACTCAACCCGGGCTCTCTGTGTATTTATTTATTCTGGGGAGTTCTGCTCCTCCCCGCATAGGGGCTTTCCAAACGGTTCCTGTTTATTTTTGGAACAGGAAAGACCACGTCAAGGAATTGGTATGAGCCAGAGCTGCTTCCCAACCAGCCCCAAACGGCCATTTTTTTGCTTCCATCCACATCCCAAAGCTCCAGCTCCTGGAGGATAATCCCTTCTAGCACCTCTGCCTCCATCTAGCAGCCTGATCCTTTCTTCTGGAATTAACGTGCCACAGGAGGGCAGGTTTGTCTTAAACCCCAACCTCTCTGTTGCAGGTGAGGATTTTGGGACCTCAGAGGATGTTAAAGCCAAGGAGCCCTGCTGCAGCCCAAACTGATCCAGCCCTCCTCCTGCAGGATCAGAGAACCAGATCTGCCATGTCCCGAGGTGCAGGCAGAAAATCAGGCTGAATCTCATCTCAAGAAAGCTGCTGTGCTAAAAGACCCCATGTGTGCCAGGATGAGGGCAGGCTGGTTGCTTTCAGGTCAGGGGGAAAAGCAGCCCTTTTCTCTCCCTAAATTCTCTGCCTGTCTCAGAAATGAGCAGGGATGCCCTGCACAGGATGCTGGTGCCCAGGTAGTGCCAGGCTCACCAGCCCGAGGGCAGCTGCTCCCTCCTCCCTGAGGAGGGCAGGGAGCAGTGCCAAAGCAGAGATGGAAGGAGCAGGAGTGTCTGCAGGGGAAACTCCTCTCCTTGATTTAAGGTCCTTGAATGACGGCAATTCCTCATGTCTCACGCTGCTCTCTGCTGGCACTTAATTACCCTCACTGGAAAAACTGCCCTCAGATTTCCACCTTGACTTTGCTGACTTCAGCTTCCCTGCTGTTGGATCCTGATTTGCCTTTGGCTGCTAATTAAAAAGCCCTTCAGCCTTTGCCAGCTGCTCCTTGCATAGGTAATTACAGACCGTGCTCCAGCCACCTCCTCACCTTCCCAGCAGACCAGCAGCATTCCTCCAAAATCTGTGCAGCCTCTTCCCCGTCTGCCTCCAGGGGGATGGCATTGCTGTGCTGTGGGACGGTGGGGTCACCTACAGAAAAACCCAAACACTGCGTTTACCAAGGCCAAAGAGCCCGTTTGGGGTGGGATTTGTCCCATCACAAAGGTGGACACGTGTCCATGCTCTCAGTGCCACAGGGGCTCATGGCAGAGGAAAAGCAGCAGCTCCTTATCCAGCAGAGGAGGAACAAGGCAAGTTGTCTTCCACATTCCTCCCAGAGGAGCTCAGCTCCATTTTAACAGTGTTTTTGGCTAAGCCAAACCCAGGGGATCCCCTCTCTGCCTTCCTACTCACTCTTCAATTCCAAAGCTTAGTAAGACCTGGAGTTTTCTTTGGCATTTGGCTCCTTTTTTTTTTTAAGTTTAAAACTGCCATGGGCTGTGTGCCCTTTCTCCTCGCTCCTGGCAGTGGAGCCAAGGCTGTTCAGACTTTCCAAACATAAGTGGGACACGGCCCAGGCCTAAATTTGTCCCAGAAAAATTGTAAGCAGCTGAAAGAACAAGCAGGAGGGGGGAAAGACAAAAAAAAAAAAAAAAAAAAAAAAAAAAAAAAGGGGGGGGGGGGGGAAACCCCAAAACGTAAGAAAGGCGAGGTGGGGGGAAATCCCCAAACCAACTTGCTGTTGGAATAAGCCCCCATGTGTGTCAGGACTTACAGGATTTTTTGCTTGAAGGGGTATTTTGAGGCCCCCTCCCCAGAGGATGGTTTTAGGACACACAGCAGTGTCCAAGCTCCATCACACTGGCAGGGCCATCCTCAGCCCAGCTCATGGGTCTCTGCCAGCAGCAAGGGCCTTGTGCCCACAGGGTGTGTGTGCCACGAGCCTGGGGACGCTGCAGGGTCACCCCGAGGCCCTGCTGAGGACAGACCCGTTGTGACACCTCTCCCTGTGGCTCCATCAGGGTGTAGCCCAGTGGGGTTGATGTTTTCCTGGGGAAAAGGGCAATTGCGGATTTTATTTTTCTCTGCCTGCTCCATTTTTCCTGTTTTTTTCCCCAAGGCCCATTGAGCACCAACAGTCAGAGTGGAGGGGATTAAAGGCCATCACTGCTTGGCCCCCCCAAACCTGCAGCTGCCACTCTCCCAGCTGCCTGGTCCCCTGTGCCACTCCATCACCCTCAGAGCTTTACAGGGAGCTGGTCCAACTGGCTAGCAAGTTTCCTCCTTTTTTTCCCCCCACCCTTTTTTCCCCTTTGCTGATGAAATCAGCACTTAATAAAATCGCATCAGGCCCAGATGTTTTCTCCTCGGGTCAAGATTCAAGGAGGTGAAGTCAATTAGAGCTGCAATTTATCCCAGGCACACACGGAGCCCCCGGCACCGGGCACTGCTCTGCCCTGGGCAGAGCGCCGGAGCCAGGCGCCCTCCCCGGGTGGCGAGGGGATGCAAACACATCCTAGGGGACAGAAAACACATCCCAGGGGATGCAAATACATCCCAGGGGACAGAAACATCCCAGGGGATGCAGTCACATCCCAGGGGATTGGAAACATCCCAGGGAATGTAAACACATCCCACGACACTGCAGTAACACCCCAGGGGACAGCAAACACATCCCAGGGGATTGCAAACGCATCCCAGAGGACAGCAAATGCATCCCAGGGGATTGGAAACATCCCAGGGGATGCCAACACATCCCAGGGGACAGCAAACGTATCCCAGGGGATTGCAAACACATCCCAGGGGATTGGAAACATCCCAGGGGACAGAAAACATCCCAGGGGGCTGCAAACACATCCCAGGGGATGCCAACATATCTCAGGGCACTGCAAACATCCCAGGGGATGCAAACACATCCCAGGACACTGCAGACACACCCCAGGGCACTGCATTAGTTTGGGCTCAGCCCAGGGATGTTCCCTGTGTAAAAGAAGCAGCTTTTTGTTGGTGAGGCAGTGCCTAAAGTGATTTGGCATCATCCTCCTGATCCAGACCCTGGAATACCAAGCAGGGTCTGGATGGGCCAGGCTCACAAACAAGAGACTGCACGTGGAGGAAAGCAAGGACAGGGGTGTGATCGCTGCCCCCAGGTATTCACAGACTTGGCCGAGCCTGTCAGGACATGGCACGGAGCGGCCACACGGATTTTCCACGTTTTTATTAATAAAACGGCCGATGGTGCAGAATTGACCCAGAAAACCGCTTGGCCGGGGCCCTTTGACCACTCCTCGCCCTTCCTCCGGGGGAAGCCAAGCCGTGGTGGCCCCGAGCCCGCGGGCCGTGCCCGGGCTGCGGCTTTGCCCGCGCTCCCTGCCGTGTGCCCCGGCCGCTCCTCGCTCCGGCCTTGGGGCGGCCGCAGGGGACGCGTCAGAACTCCTTAAACCTGCGGGGACAAAAGCGAGCGGCTCAGGGCGGCGGCAAGGCCCCGCGGGCGCTGGGAGCGATGCTGGGCACTGCGATCGATGCTGGGCACTGCGATGCTGTCGGAGATGGAAAGGGAAAAGAGCTGTGCCGGGAGAGCCCAGCCCCATCCGCGCCACCAGGAGGAGAAGCAGGCGCGAGGAGGAGATGCAGCCACTGTTGTGTCTCCGGCCAAAGCTGAAATGTCCCCAAAAATCCTACAGCGTTTGTGCCTCTTCTCTGCAAGCTGCTCCAGAGACACTCCCCAAAGCGCTGAAGACACTGCAGCATTGCCACATGAGCCAGCCGCTTCCCCCAGCAGAAACCAGCCAGTGTTTGGTGCAAACGCGGCTGCTGTCATCCCCTAGGACAGTCGTCACCCTAACCAGCCCCGGCACCAGAGAGCAGAGCCTGGCAGCCCTCCACCGGCAGCCGGAGAAGGAGATTTGGGCCGCACTTACCGCAGCACGAGGCCCAGACTATTGGTCTGTCACCTGCAAACACAAGACATAAGGGACGGAATGTCCGCAGGGGTCGGGGTCCGGCAGCCCCACTGCCAGGACCGGCGGTGGCCCCTTCCTTTAGATGTCACATGGGGATGTTGGTGGCAATCGGAGCCAGGGCAGTGCTGATTTGGAGATTATTTATACACTCGCTGCAGTGATTGACCCAGATTTGATTAGCCAGCCCTGGCTGCGTGTAATCAAGCTCAGTTGCACAGGTGGGCAAAGCCTATAAATTCAGTCATTTCAAGTGCATTAATCAATGCCAATCGATTGGGCATCTGGGCCAGTATCTGCTAAATCAGCCAGATTTAAAGGATGCGCTGCCCAGCCACATCTCCCTCTCCCTCCTTCCTCCCACACTCTTCCCTGGCCATTGCAATTTGATCTTTTGATTCCCAAATCTTGATCTCGGCCCTAAATGATTGGAGCAGTGGCTATTTCTAGGCTGAGCCTGCAAAGTGAAACTCAGAATCAGAATGGATCAGGCTTGTGTTTGCATTTAATCCTCAGGGCTCAAGTGAAGATACTTACACCGACCTACTTCCCATCCATCACTGACTCTGTTAGCTGCACACTAGAGCTACAAAGACACAAGGACACTGTGTTTAGCACCCCAAGTGTTTTCTGAGGTGCAGCTGGCTAAAATCCCCCAGGTGCTGCCTCGGCTTGAGGTGGCAGCGTCTCAGTGGCCACAGGGCACGGGGCAGGCGGGCTGGCGATGCCCACGCGAAGGTGCAGCAGCGACAGCAAGGGGTAACAAACATCCTTCTGCAGCAGCAGCAGCGACAGCGTGCCCGGGCGGCGCGGCACCGGGGGCCGCTCCGGGCTGGCAGCTACGTACCCTCTCTGCCTCGCCATGGAGCCACACCAGCCACGCGCCTCCTTGACCACCACACGAGCCAGGAGCTGCAAGAGCAAGGGTGGAGGGTCGCTGCAAGGCTGGGGCACTGCAGCCTCCAGCCCTGGCACGATTCCCACCACCAGCAGATCAGTTCTACAGCTCTCCCCAGCAAAGGTTATGAACTAAACCTGTGCGAGGAGGAAAAGCCAAGTGAAAGCAGAGGTCTGGAGTCTGTGGGGAATAGATTTGTAAAGAATTCTCAAAACTTGACAGAAAGTTTACACAGTCTCGTGTATTTGTATGTAAATACTGAGATAAGGTCTGTTGACTTAGGAAGGTTATGGAATAGAGATGACATTGTTGAGAGAGAGATTGAAGTACAAGTAAGTTTTAATAGGTTTCAAAATATGATTTTGAAGAAAGATTAAATATTTTAGAGAATTAGAATTGTGAAAAATGTATTGTAGTAGAACTATGTGGGGAAGAAATACAGGTGATTAGTGTTAAAAGTAATAGTAATATTGTGTAGTAAAAGTTAATAGGTTGAAAAACATTTATAAGGTATTGTAACTAGAAAATAGGTTAGTTTCTGATGGAATGGTGTTGAGTTTTTTGTGACTCACTATTTATTGAGACTGATAATAGAAGAAAATCTTTTAAAACATTTCTCAGTTACCCATCTCTGTAAAAGTTGAGAAAACTAACAAAACAGTGCCTGGTGTGAGGAAGGAATAACTCAACTATCTGTTTAAAACACCTCTCAGTTACCCCATCCTGTAAAAGCTGAGAAATTCAACTATCTGTTTAAAACACCTCTTAGTTACCAATCTCTGTAAAAGCTGAGAAAACCAAGAGCCAATACAGGCCTTTGCACTTTGCCCTGTGCCTGGATGTCTTCTGAGAACCATCTGAGCCCTCCAGCAGTGAGCAGGCAGCTAAAAGGGAGCCTGTGACACCCCAGGGCAGACAAAGGAGTTCTGCCCAGGTGACACCTACCAGACAAGCCAGGACATCAGCTGCTATCAGCATGTAGAACACGTTATTCCAGCCCGTGGGAGAGATGAGCCCTGCCAGCAGCGGCCCCAGCGCAGCACCTGGGGGGCACACGAGCCCCGTTAGCCCTGTTCACACCTGAGAGGGGAGCAGGACCCCCAGCACCCCCCAGGACACACCAACAGATCCCGTGCCGTCGATGATGGCCGTGACAGTCGAAAGAGCTTTGGCATTTCCTTTGAGAGACTCATGGGTGCCCTGTAAGGATGGAGGGATAAAACATAAGGAGCAAAAGCAGCTTTGGGGTGCACAGCCAGCATTTTCCAGAGTGAAGCCAATGTCCCAGGCAGCAATTTCCATGTGTCAGACCCAGCCACAGACAGGAAGACCAAACTCAAATGCTGCCTGCAGCCAAACCGTGGCAAAACTTGGATTGTCAACAGGAGGCAGAAATTCCCAGGGAATCTGCCACCAAATATTTCCACTCTGCTTGTGCTCAGAAAAAGATGCAGCAGAGCTGAAACACAATCATGTGGCCAAGGTGAAAAAGCAACAGGAAAAAGCCCTGTATTTAAGGGAGGGTGTGGAGAGCAACACCAGGTGTGACAGCTCTGCCCTTCTCCAGTGGGCTTCAGAGGCATTGGAAAAGAAAGGTAAAGTGCAAAAATCCCAGCAAAACATGCCTCTGGGAAAGAGGGAGCAGGCTCTGGGTGTGCAAGGGCAGCGTGGCGGGGTTGAGGTGCACCTCTTACCAAATCTGCCGACACCGCTGTTGTGATGAGCGCGTAGGGCCCATTAACCAGAGCACCACAGATGATCAGCATCGCTGCAGAGGAACCCGGGAAGAGATGAAATCTTTAGGTGCAGGGAGCAGCAGGACATTGGATGCATCATCCCCACCCCACGTGTGGACATTGCTGTCCCACACATCCTCTCCTGTGCATCTCCACTTTCCCATGAAGATCCCAGCCAGCAGGCAGTGAACACTCATCCAACACCACCCTCCCCCAAATTCAGCCTGGGAGCCTGGCTCAAGAGGAGGAATAAAGGCAGGTGAATCCTCAGTATCTTCCAGCACCACTTCAGTGACAGGACCAAGCTGCACCATGGAGCTCCTTACCTATTGATATGCCAATGCCGTTCTGACCCACATGGTTATACAGGAACAGCTGGAAAAGAGAAAAAGGTGAACTAGTTATGGTTACTTCAGCTGTTTTACCAAGAGTTTTCCTTGCAGCAGTACCCTGGGAATGGGATGGAGAATGTGGGGACCTGAATTACTGCTCGTGCCAAGCACCAGCTGGGATGGGGGGCTGAGTGCACCCTGACCTCTGCATCCCACTGGCATGATGAAATACCTGGCAGCTGGCAAGCAGAGGTGCTGCCACGATTTATGGCCAGTGAGGCTCTGCCACGTCCCACAGCTGCAGCCAGACATAATTTGTCCCAAAGGTGCTCTCGGGGCCGCGGACGTGACGCAGCCCCTCTGCTTCCCAGCACGTGCCAGCTCCTTCAGCAGGAGAGGCTCCCATCCCAGAGCCAGCCAGGATTGGATTACAGCTAATTAACCATGCTGTGGAAGCAAAGCCAAATGAGCTCTGTGCAGGTGCCTGGGAAGGACGTCCAGGCCAAGTTCCAGTGGAGCATGAGGCCGTTGGCATGGGGGCTTTTGGGATGAAAATCAAAGAGACAAAAGCTGGACTGGATCGGTGGGACCCCTAAGGCTTTGAGAAGAGTTATGGCAGGATGGAAAAACCTAAGGGTGTTTTTAGTTGTCAAGGTCTCTGCAATCCCTCCCCAGCCCCTAGAGCTGGACATCCTTCCCAGGAACATCTGGGCACGTGAATCAATCCCAGCTCTCATCTCAGCCGAGCGCGTGACCAGCCTGTCCCGGGCGCTTGGGAAGAGGAAGGCAGCTGTGACTCAAAGGAGCCGGAGCGAGGAAAGCCTCGTGATGGGTTTTGAGCCCATGTGACAGCTCACCATGGGAGCAGCGACCACCAGCATCACGCAGCACGTGGTGGCTCTGCCGCCAGTGTAGTCAGAGATGAGGCCAGCGAAGATCCCCCCTACAAGAAAGAGTCACAGGTGTCACTCACACCGCCCCAAAGGCAGAGCTCTGCCCTGGCTCAGCCCAAAATCAATGTGATGCTCTTTCATCCCCATCTTCTGACCAGTATGCCCCCAAGGTTAAACATAATAATATCAGAGTGAAGAGCTTTGATTTATCCCTTCCACTTCCTCCCTGCAGATGGTTTCTCTGCACTTCCATGCCGCCCTGGTCTCTTCCACACTTGCAAACAATAGGAAAAGGAGCCTGAGCAAGCGAGACCTGAGGAAAGAGGCTGTGATGGTTGGCAAAACAAATGGATGCCAAAATAAAATGGATGGGTGTTTGCTGCCTGCTGAGTGCTGTGAACACTGAATAAACCTCCTGGGGGAAAGAGATGGTGTTGCCTGTGGGGGGCACCAGCCAAGGCTGGTCAAGGCCAGGATTGTCCCTAAATCATCCCAGACCCATCCCTCCATCCCGGTACGTTGACGAACCTAAAATACCCCCGACATCAAAGAGGGTCGACAGGTCCCCGGCTTCCTTGGCACCAAAATGAGCTGTGGGGGAGAGGAGAGGGGTGAGGAGATGCTTCCCTTGCAAGGCTCACTCCCACCTTGCTGTCTCCAAAACTCACCGACGTTGACAATGTAGAGGGGCAGCCAGTACAGGAAGGTGTAGCTCACCAGCTTGGCAAAGAGCAGGCACAGGGAGAACTCCACTACGCCCTGGGAGGAGAGGAGGGGACATCAGAGGAGCCTCCTTACCCCTGCCTCCTCTGGATGGTGGGTTTGTCCCATTTTCTGCCCTGTGGATGCTCTGAGCTGCTCTGGATTTGCTCTTTCCTCCATCCCAGCACTCACAGGTATCCGAAGTGCCCCAAGGAAGCTGATGGCTTCAGGCTCCTCAGCTGGCTCCTTGGGGCTCTTGGAGTGATCCACACTGCTCTGGCCTGAGAGGCTCAGTGGGCCCTCGTTGGAGATGACTGCTTCAGGATCCTTCTCACTCGTGGTCACTCCTCCAGGATCCTCATCAGCAGCCATCTAAAATCAAGCCAAAAGCAGCACATGTGGCTCTCGTGGCTGGAGGAGGCTGAAACATTGGCTCTGCTGCTGGGGCATGACCCAGAGGATGCTCCCAGTGGAAGAGCAACAACCATCCCCTGTGACAGCTGAACATTGCTCTAATTCCTGCCATTACAACCTGATGACCCTCTTGTTTCACCCAGCCCAGGACGGGCCCCCTGGGAATCGGCGCGACTCACGTGATGCAGAGGTGGATTGCAGTCAACATCCTCAGGATCTGCAGGGAGAAAGAATACCCTGTGAGGAGAGCCTGGAGCAATCCCACTCCACCTGCTCTCCCTCCAGCACCTCACAGGGGCTGGGAACCCCCAGGTCTAGGCTGCATCTCTGGGTACTCTCTTCCCCAGTAAAAACCCAAAAGACTCCCCTGGTATTTCCTAGAAAGGCAGGCTCAGAGGAGTGACTGGTATAGGGGATGAGCCTGCCTGGACAACCCCAAAATGATGCTGAGCATCCCCATGGTGGTCAGATCCACATCCCTGCTAGCCACAGGCTGGAAATAAGTTTTTGGGATTGTCAAAAATGCTTAGAGATGGGCAAGGTGGAAAGTTGTTTGTATTATACTGGTTGTCTGCTGTGCCCCAGATGACAACACTCACACTCCACGAGGAAGAAGAAGCAGATGATGCCCACGACGGTGATGATGATGCCAGGCACAATAAAGGACAGGCCCCAGGCAGAGGAAACCCAGGCACCGGCGATGAGCGACCCTAAGATGTTGCCAACGGAGGTGTGCGAGTTCCAGATGCCCATGATCAAACCTCTCCTGGTGGGGACACAGCCGGGTCAGTGGCACTGGGGTGGCTGCCAGGGTCAACAGGGACCAGGACAGGCATGAGACACATAGGAGAAAAACTCACTTTCCTTTGCCAAACCAGTTTCCAACGCAGGCCACGACAGCAGGCCAGCCTGTTGTCTGCACCAGCCCATTGCAGACCTGGCAAGAGATGGGAGCATCACCCAGCACGCACCGACCACAGCCACGCAGCCCTGCACTGTTCTGGGCTACTGGGCTGGAAAATAGCCACCCCTATCCAAAGCTGTTAAGAAAACACTTGGTTTGTTTGTTTTTTCCCTGCTGGGGCAATCCTGGGGCCGTTGGCATCACTCCCATGGCTAAACTGGGAGTGGCTGGGGTTGCCAAACCAGCTGCCCGCAGCGCTCGGAGGCGGGCACGCCCGGCGGTTTCGACGCCCACGCCACGCACAGCCAGGTTTTGCGGGGAGTGGAAACGCTCAGCGCTGCCCTGCTCAGAAACTGGGCCACCCCAACCCCTTGAGGTCACTGAAAGACTAAGATGAGGCCGTGGTGATAAAGGGGACAACACACACAACACACCTGCACGACGATGAAGTACCAGAGGACGTGGATGTTCCAGAAGTAGCCGAGGCCGAAAAGGGCGGTGAAGAGCCCGCTCACCACCATTCCCCCCGACAGGTAGTAGCGCAGAGGGAGGCGCTCCCCAAAAATGCCACTGCAGAGACAGGGGAGAGCACAGCAGAAGCTGAACGGGTGATGCCAGCAATGGGCATCATCACAGCGAGCCAGTACCCGAATCCTGAGCGGATCCCTGGCTGCTTTCCTGTTAGCATGACCCCATCCCAATGGAAACCAGTTTCCACCAGACTGGTGCAAACTGGTGAGTGGAGGGGAAGGCCCTGGGTACCTGATAAACATCCCGATGGCGTAGGCCACCAGGAAGGCATTATCCAGCGCCCCAAAAAGTTCCTTGTAGTTGTCCCCATCTGGAAAACAAATATCAGGGCCACCTCAGGCTGGCCCCCACCTTGTGTCCCCTCCCCGTGGCTGCTGGCTTCATCTTGTTCCCCCTTCACCAAAGCCTGGTCTCCATGGGGGCTTCTGAGGGCATGGCCAGGTGCCATCGGCACTGGGACCTGGTCCTGTCCTGGACTTCACCACCCGCTGCTGCCCTTTGGCCCAGGGGCATGGGACAGATCTTCATCACTTAATTACCTCCGGGTGCCTAATGAGCAGCTCCCTGCCAAACCCTGGCCACGACCTGGTATTAGGGAATGGAGGAGCCCAACTTGGCTGCCACAAGCGTGGGTTTTGGGGTGCCTGGGGGAGCTCAGCCTTACCAAAGGGGGCCCAGCTGCACCAGGTGGTGCTGTTGGAGTCATTGTGGGGGTTCGGGCCCAAGGCTGAGCAGTTGGGGTGCAGCTGGCTCTGCAGGGAGAGAGAGGGGGATGAAATCAAAGTGCTGTCAGCACTCTCCTCCCCATGTGCCCTCTGCAGGCTCCCTGTCCCCACAGCAGGGGTGAGGCTGGAGCTCACCTTGACGATGCTGATGGGTTTTCGGGAGAGGTGGTAGCTGGTGTAGGAGAGGAAGGTCAGTACCAGAGTCAGTCCTCGATAGCTGTGGGAGGAAGGAAGCAGAGAGGTCAGGGTTTGGTGGGACAGGGATGAGTGGCCTCAGAGGCCAATGGGATTCTTCTACCGGATTGGTGACCTGAACCAGCTCAGCTGAGCTGGTTAGGAAGTGAGCAGACCCCCCAAAAAAGCCCAGGATGTGGCTTAAAAAGATCAGCTGAGTTTTGTGGGGAACATCAAGCAGTGTTTCCACCTCCTCAAGCAGTTACATCCAACCGAAACACAGGGTGAGCAAGTGCCTTCCTGGTGTCACGAGTGGAAACTGTGCTGATTCATCATCACTGCCAGGGTTAATCAAAGACAAGCTGGAAAAAAAAGCAATACCAGCTCTCCTTCCTCCACCAAAAAGCCATTTCATCCCCTTTGCTTGGATTAAATGCAGGGAAAGGGGGAGTCTGGGCTCAGGAAATGGGGATGCTGCACCCATCAAAGCTAACAGATAAAGCCTGGAGAATCCCAAGTAGGATCTAGCACTCTCTGGACAAGATGAGTATCTCTGCAGGAGCTATCCTGCCTTCAGGAAGAGTTTTATGGCAGCACAGAGGATGCAAGTAGTCAGGGGCAGCTGCAGCACACAAACATGTCACGGGGTTGCTCCAAGTTAAAAAAAAAAAAACAAAACAACCTTTCCTTTGGTGGTTTTGGCCCATTATGCTCCTCTTTGCAGTTTCACTTCTCCCTGGAGCTGCAGCAGTGACGGGTGTCCTGCAAATCCAGTGCAACTCCCTGCGCTGTGGTGCCAGCTCCAAGGCTGCACTGTGGCTGAGAAACTGCTGCTTCCCACCCCAAAAAATGAATAAACCACCCAAAATCGCTGCTAGTGGCTGCAGGGCTGATCCAAGAGGAGCAGAGAGGCCACAGTAGGGAAGGGGAAGATAAACTTCACATGCAACACCCCCTGGGTCAGACACTTGGGTGTAGAGTTTTTTCTTTTTACCCTACACGTTCTGGCAGGGAAAATTCCAGCAGATGGAAAAGCAGGGGGGGCGTCTGGCAATGGGCTTCCAAAAAATCCAACTATTACTCAAAATTAAATGGGCAGCAGTCCCATCACCTCATCAAAAGAGAAGGCAGCAGGCAAGGTTTCTGTTTTGGCCACATCCCACTGAATTTTGAGTGTGAGGACCTGAGACATCTGGAGGCTGGTGGGTGCTGCTGCCCATCTCGAGGTTCCCCCTCCCAGGCCAAGTCCCAAGCCCTGGGCTGCAGTCGGTGTGAGCTGATCCCATCTGGGTCCAGTGCCTGAAGGCGATGCTGGGCTCTGGGGGAGTGACCCCTCATCCATGTCCCCAGCCCAGGTCTCATCCCTGTCCCTGTCAGTCCCCAGACAAGTGGTCTCCAGTCTGGTGCTGGTCCCAGTGCTCATGCCAGTCTGCTGGTCCGGGGCCAGTCTCCATCCCAGTGCCAGTCCCTATGCCCAGGGCCAGTCTCCATCTCAGTGCCAGTCCCTATGCCCAGGGCCAGTCTCTATCCCAGTTCCACCTCCAGTGGTTGCCAGTCCCCAGTGGAATGACACCCCCCCTCCCTAACCTAACAGGGGCTGAACCCTGTGCCGGTTCTGGTGCCCATCCTGGTGTTGGCTCCAATGTCCAGGGCCACTCTCTATTGCAGTGCTGGTCCACGGAAGAGTGAGCCCTGTTCCGGAGACCGTCCCTATCGCGGTGCCGACACCCTCCCTGCCCGATCTCAGTCCCTATGTCCAGGACCAGTCCTGATCCCTCTGCGCAGAGCCGATCCCGCTCCCGGCGCCGGTCCCTAGATCCAGAGCCAGTCCCGATCCCGCTCCCGGTCTCTATGGCCAGACCCAGTCCCGATGCCGGTCCCTGTATCCAGGGCCAGTCCCGATCCCGCTCCCGGTCTGTATGGCCAGAGTCAGTCCCGCTCCCGGTCCCTATATCCAGAGTCAGTCCCGCTCCCGGTCCCTATATCCACTGCCAGTCCCGCTCCCGGTCCCTACAGCCAGGGCCAGTCCCGCTCCCGATCCCTACACCCACAGCCAGTCCCTCTCCCGGTCCCTACACCCACAGCCAGTCCCTCTCCCGGTCCCTACACCCACAGCCAGTCCCGCTCCCGGTCCCTACACCCACGGCCAGTCCCGCTCCCGGTCCCTACACCCACAGCCAGTCCCGCTCCCGGTGCCGTGCCCCCATCCCGCTCCCCGCTCCCGCTCACCGGCTGTCCCGGGGGAGGGCGCGGAGCAGGCGAACCCCGGGGGCGAGCGCTGCCCTCATGGCGGGCGGCGGCGGCACTCGGGCACCCCCGGCTCCTTTTCACCGCCCCCGGGGCCGCCGCTCCCGCCCCGCCGGCCCCGGTCCCGCCCCGGCCCTGCCCGGGCACGGCCCCGGTTCCTCGGCCGCGAGGGGTGAACCAGGCTGCCCTCGGTCCCTCTAAAACAAATGTCGCCTTCAGATCCGGCTGGAACGAGGGAACGGCCGCGCTGGGCAGTGGGAGGCGGCACAGGCCCGAAGGGACCGGGCAGCCCTTTTCGTGTGCCCCCGGGGCTCTGAGAGCTTCCCCAGATGCTGTATTTTCCAGCAGAAAAAAAAAAAAAACCCTGGATTTAACTTTTTCATTCCCATGGCAGCAACCCCCAAACAGGCTTCACTGCCCTGCGGGTGACTGAGCTACCCCAGACACGGCTCGGGTTACGGCCAGGGATGTCGGGAGTCCTTCTCTCCTCCCACCCCCTTTCAAAGTACCCCATTTATCTTGATAGGGGCAGATTGAGGATGAGGAGCCACAACAGCTGTATTTATTCCTTTAACTAAGCCCCGAATCAGCCCACAGCCCCTTTGGGAATCACTCCAGAGAGGTAGGAACAGGGGTCCCCAGGGCCTGAGCAAGTTCCCTGGGGACTTGCCAAGGAACTGCTTGTCCTCAGCTGCCCTAGAGCTGAAATCAGTTACAACAAACCCATTTACAGCTTTAGCCCTTTGCTTCCTTGCCCCCTCACGGGGCAGACCCTGCCCTTTCCAAACCCACTCCAACACCCTGAATTGGGGCTGCAGCACTGACGCAAGCAGCTGTTAATAAACAGCATTAGCCACCACAGATCCCTCAGTGAATGATTCTCCAGGGGGAACCGAGGAGCAGTCCCTGGCTCTGTGCTACCTCTGGACCAGAGGTGGGTTTGCTTTGTGCCCAATGGGATGGGAACAGGGAAAAGAAATGATCCGGCACGCTCGGCCACCCATCCTTCCTGCCGTGGTTAATATTGGAGAGGGAGGCCAGCAAGGAGTAAATATTAATGACAGGGTATGGAGTAACCTCTGCCCAGCACATTACCTCACCACAGGCAGTTCTGGGAAAACCCATCTTGCTCCAGGCACTCCTGCAAAGGTCTGAAAATTTTTTTACTAGAAAAATGCTCCTTCCTTTCAGGAGCAAAGTAGAGGCTAGGGGAGTGTGGGTCAGGTACAAAGCTGTGGGGGTGTTTCTGGAAGAGAGGGCCTCACCCAGAAAAGAAGGAGGGAACAATATATACCTGGCTCTGGAAGGTGATCCAAGTGGCAGGCAGAAGCCCTAGGAAAAGGGAAGGAAGGGAGCAGGGAAAGGTTAAAAAACCTCCCCTAAGAGATATGACCCCTGGCACCTCATCTCTCCTCCTTTCACACTTCAAATGAGACAAACAATCTTTGAAAGCAGTTTATTCCACAATAATGATTAGTCAATAAGAATATGTAGTCAATAGCTACTGGAATGCAAATGCCTGCCATAAACCAACTCCACAGAGCAATTGCTTCCTTCACCTCGACCATCGCCCCGGCCAGCTGCACCCCTGGGGCAGAGTGGGAGAGGCACAGCACAAACTGGGAGAACAAAGGTGACACCGGCCTGGCAGCTGGCGTGGAGGGGCAGGCAGGATGCAGCACAGCCCCCCTCCCTGCTCACCCCAGGTGCTGGGACATGGAGCTCCTCGGTCACAGACGCTTCCCAGAGCGAGCACAGAGAGCAGCCAAGTCCTGGAGAGAGCGTGTGGCTGCATGGGCACAGGAGGAGATCACCGAGTGCAGCGCCTGGCTGTAGGCTGAGCAGAACAGGGACACAAACACTATCAGGGCATGAGAGTTGCACTTATGGCCCGAAACTGGGCTTGGCTCTAGCCTTTCACCAGAGCAGAAAGGCAGTGATTGGGGTTTAAGGTAAATCGACATGCTTGCAGTTTTCCACACACCCATTTGCACGCTCTGCACACTCCCGAACATAAATCAGTACACAAGCCAAAGATCATTTTATGAACCCAAATATCTCTATTTTCCCTCCCAGATAACTCCCAGTGGCCCAGTCAGGTATTTTCCCAAGCTGTGCTCAAAGTCAGTGCACTCCATCACCTAAGGAAGGCCATTTCCACAACTTTATGCATCCTCCTAGCAGAAGATTCATCATTTAAGGCAGAGGGCTCTGTGTCCCTAATGAGATGCTTTGCAGCATTTTCCTCGTGGCTGTGTCCATAGCCACACGTGGCTGTGTCACAGCTGTGTAATTTAACACACTGTAGGGGCTGGTGCCTTGCTGAAGATGCCACTACACTCCCTAAGGTACAGAGGTTGGGTCAAGCAGCAGAGCTCCTGACTTGCCCTCTCCAGAGCATATTTGGAGGAGCATCTCTGCACAGCAGCCCAGGAGCATGGAAACACCTATCCTGGTTTGTGTTCTCCCTGTATAATCAGGCCCAGGTGTCTCTTCTCTGAAAGCAGGAGCTCCTACCTTTATGATTTTTGTAGAAGACGCAGTTATTGGCACAGGTGTCCGGGTGGGAATCCCAGAAATCAGACCCACAGGAACACAGTGGGGGCAAGTCAATGTTACAGAGTTTGACTTTCTCCCTTATCTGGGCTCTCAGAGCTTCAACATACCTGCAAGGGATCAAACATTCACCTCTGGCACTGACACCTGTGACACCTCTGCACAAGGAGCACAGACTGCCTGTACCTCATGTGCTCCTTATCCCGCTGCTGTCTGTCCCTCACTCTCCTCTCCTCCAGCTGGAGCTGGGCCAGGGCTACCCAGGTTCCCTCTCCTGGGGAGGGCTCTCTCTGCTCAGCCATGTCTTGCATCCTCTGCTCCTCTGCCCGGCGCTGATTCTCCTTCTGCCTCTTAATCCTGCAGGGAACACACATGCTCAGAGAAGGAGCTTTCCATCCCAATCTCCATTCCTGGCTCTGAGGTCAGGGCACAGGAATCTGGGTGATGCTGCTGCTTTCAAAGGCAGAAGTAATTCTGCACTAATCACAGCATTAAATATAAATAAATATAAACAAACATATTGGCTTAAAACATAGAATGGTCATAAAAGCTTCCTGAGCCTCCATTCTTCCCCCCATATGGCGACACCAGACTGTGAATGGTTTCCTGCCCTCAAACTCTTCCTGCCTGCCTGTTTTCTCACCATCCTGGACTTCCTCTTCCAGCTCCTTCCTGCAACACATCCACACGTGCTCCTGCCACACACAGTTCCCCAAAGCTGCTCTTCTGTCCTTAAACAAAGCCTGCAGGCTGGGCTCTTTAATACCCCCCAGAAAGGACCAACACCTTGGCTTTCCAGCTTGCCCAATGTTTCTGATTATGAGGCAGCTCGGATCCTTCTGTAAGCACCTTCCAGGACAGGGCAGCATGACAGGGCTGGGTACAGCAGAGACATTCCAAGGATCCCACCTTTACTCCAAAATAGTCTTTAAAATGTACTTTTAACCAAGTTTTCCTCTATTTCCTCAGTCTCCTTTCCACCTGTGTGGCCCTACAGCCCTTTAGTGGGACCTGGGTTGTGTAATTTCCGCCAAACACAACACACATTCCCCCGACAAGCAGCAATTGCAAAGCACAAACACTTTACACAAAAGTATCTGACATTTTGTTCCCAAATGCAACAAGTGTCCCACGCCACTCCTGGCCAGGGGGCATTAAAAACAAAATGAAGGCTGAGAAGAAGCCAGAAGACATTTCAGACCTTACTTCATGTAGGGGGTCAAATCTTTACATCCAGAAAGAAAATGCTAAAGGTGATCTTCTCTGGTTGAGTTATAAAATTGGAAATGTTTTTTAAATGAAATGTAGAACCTTAAGTACAGCACTATAAATCCACTCCAGAAATTGAGGCCAAGGCCAGCTCGGGCTTTACACCCCGTAATTACAAACCCAGCTCCCCTCTGCACACAATCCAAGCTAAAAATCATAATAAAAAGGTATTGCACTAACTGGGAATCCCTGGGGCCTTGCCAGCATTCACAGGGCAGGACTAGCTCTCCCAAGCTCCCAAGTGCCACTGGAATGTCAGGATGTGGCTCAAGGAGCACTGCTTTAGACTGGCAGTTTTTCCCAAAAAATGCCCAGGAAATCCTGCCCTGTGGTGCCTGTCCCACTCCCCCAAAGCCTGACAACAGAAGAGCCATGATGGTCAGATTTAGGTCAGCTCATTCAAAGGAAAGCCAGGGAAAAAACAAAAATTAGAGGAGCTTTCCTGTTTTGCTGTGAATTTGCAGAACTTCTCCTTAATCAACCCCTTCACAGGAGAAGCTGAGAAAAGTCCACCACAACCGATACTTTTACACAGATACCAAGTGTTCAACTCCAGAACAAATGCCTGTAAAATATTTTATTACACTGTATAAGTTTTTATGGCCACGAGGGTGAAGGGTCTGATATTAAAAATGCCAGGGATGGTCACAGCTTAGCACAATGACATAACCTCACCCCAAAGTTTCTAAACACAGGCTTAGGTTCCCAGAGTCATGTTTTGGGAAGTTGCACCTCTTCCAGCCCCATGATTTGGCTCCCAACTCCTAAACAAGCTGCACAGGGAGTTCCAAACTAGACAGAGAAGTGCTAAAGGACTCAACATGGCCCAAGGGTTTCTGCTGGGGGTTGGCTGTGTGAATCCCACCCCAGGGCGGTTACACATCAGTGCCTGCTTTACACCACACAAACTCACAAGACTTTTCCAACCTCCTGAAGGACCCTGATGGAGGAGGTGACCCCACCACCTGCACGGACTCACCGGGCAACTCTCTGCTGCCTCTGGTGCTGCCGCTGGTGCTCCCGCACTCGCTCGCGCTCCAGGGCCATGAAGAGGCGCCGGCACCGCAGGAACTCGCTCTGCCGCTTCGGAGAACAACACAGGGACATTTGGGAAGGATGCCTGGGATGAATATCCAGTGATACCAGTGTTCTGCTTGATTTCTGGAAGATGGAACCTCGCTCTTTCCCCAAAAGACCCTCAACACCTCTGAGTGCACATGACCCAGCACTGGGAAGCGGGAGAGATGGCACCAAGGTAGGAAAGACCAAGTCATCTCAAAGCATTGGGGAGCTTTGTACCAGCATC